ATTCTTTAGGGTACAATACAGCTTTTCCAGAACGGCAGCTTTTTCAGGTCGACAAGACAATACACATAACACACATTGGTGGCGCGCTATGCTTCGTGTGATAAAGATTCTTTCAGGTATAAGGTGGCTTCTTAAATTGAACCAAGTCATCTGTATTCAAAGACCATTTAAATAAACATTACAACTCCATTTAAAAAATGCCACTAACATTTAACAAGTGGTTCAAAAAGAGGCAAAATGGTGAAGGTAATTCAACAGATGCCCATCGAACACGTCTTAACACTATCGATCCTTACCTTGAAAACAAATACTAGGTTGCTACACTGACTTGGTTGATGACAAGTGGTATGGTGTTCTGTGTACCTTGGAAAATAAGCTTATCAATATACACACTGATCTCAAAGTTGCAGGGCACATTATTGAGGGCGAAGCGCATTCTACAAAGCCTGAAGATATGCGAATTTGGGGCAAAAAACTACAATGGGTTCCCCTTTACTCAAAACGGTGTGATTACAAAGTACTATGCCGCTGGCATGGGCTTGTTGTGCCACAAGCATTGTCTGCAACCTTCCAAACAAACTCACACAAAGATGAACCAGAAGTGATTCGACATTTGATTTTGGAGATTCTAGAGATGGAAAAGGCACTAGATGTTCATCATGAAATGGATGATCTTAACTTCCTGGGAGGAACGGAGGATCGGTACTGGGATTTATTAAAAAAATGATAAATTGCATAGAGACAATGATTATCCTGTTTTCCCAACTGTTGTCTAGTGGGAGGGACTACCTAAGTTTCTACCACATACGTTGGATGTAGGAGTCCCATATTGTTATAGAAATCAAGGGAGTGGTCTTCTTGATGATAGCGATGAAATGCGAGAAATGTGTGTTAACTGGGGCATAGATTACGATGCCCTCTGTCCCAAAGGGTACGTACACGATGTTGACAAAGAAGATGGAGACAGTGACAATGAAATAGTGCTAGACAGCGACAATAATGGCAAATGACAATTAGTTTTTTTCTTGGGGTGTATGTTAAATTGTTGTACTAAAATATTAATGCTAAATATCAATAAGACTTAACACCAATACAACAACAACAACAACATGGAAACATAATTTTATTTCATACATTCTGCAAGATGAACATGAACATACAACATTACAACAAATTATTAAAATAAAACACTACGGGTATCCTTGATAATTGGGCACACTGGATGAACTTCCACCTGGAGCTGAATTACCACCGCTACCTAAACCAGCTGAAGGACATTTACGACGGTCGTGTCCTATTTGCGAGCATATGCCATATTTACGTGCACGAACGGTATCACCAACATCTCTTTAGTTCCGTATACACGTTCTTTTTTGCACTTGTCGTTGACACAAATACTTCTTATTACACACCATTTTAAATGGTTCCGATGGCCAATAATGCTCAGTACCCACTGGCTGCAACTGTCCACTATAGGTGTTTAAGTATGAAGCAACAATATATACTTTATCAACGTACCTTATTGCCGCGAAACCTGTATGTTGAAAGCACTTCATGGAATGTGAGCACGATAAGTGATAGATGAACCATTTCCCACAGGAGCATAACCTTCCAGTTTCATTGACGGTGTGTGTATTATTCCCCCGATTGTGATGGATAGCGGTGCGAACTTTAAAAATATTTTGCTCGTTGCAATACTACAAAAAGTAATGCCAATGTGCTCGTTTCTTGTATTTCTAAAATCTTTTCCTTGGTATTGGCATAAATTCAACACCCCTTTCCATCAATGACGATGCACCTCTAGCCCTTTCAATAAACCTCTCCGCCATCTGTTTGAATGACATCCGCACCATGCAGTGACATGCAATCCACGTGCAGACTTCAATAACTAGTTGAAAGACTCTAACACATTTATAGTTAGAATTCCCAATCTTCTGCCATGATCCGCATGCAAAGCCCACTTGTCAAGCTCATGTCGCATCAACCACCGATAGGCTCCTTGGTCTTCCTGCCTGATCAATTTCACTCGCCTCCTCAATTTACACTCTTGGTGATCTATTGCAGCTATCCACATTAAATCATGAAAATACTTGTTGGGATATGCCTTCTGAAAATTGGCCTTCAGGTGCCTCACACAATAACGGTGGCAGGCATACGGTTCCTACCATGCATGCAAATTCTGTACAGAACTTAAAATACCGCCATGACGATCAAATATTAGACAAATACCTAAACTCTGTCTAACAACGTGCTCCTTCAACAACAACAATAACAACAACAACCCAGTAAAATCCCACGAGTGGGATCTGGGGAGGATAGTGTGTACGCAGACCTTACCCCTACTCCGAAGGAATAGAGAGGTTGTTTACGAAACGTGTTCCTTCAAGTGGTTCAAAAATAGTGTCCATGTCTCTTGACTTTCATTGGCACAAATAGCAAAAGCTAGGGGAAATATACTTCCATTAACATCTACTGCAATGACGATCAATAACTTAATATTATACTTTCTATTGATATAAGTGTTGTCTATAGATATTACCGTTCGACAATACACAAAACCATCAATTGCTGGTTTAAATGCCTAGAACACATATCTGAATATATGTTCTGGTATTTCCGGACTCCGCTCAATCTTCTATTCAACAACAGTCCTGGGGTTAAAGTGTTGCAATGCGGCTATGTACCTGGGTAGAGATGCAAAGGAATTATCCTAGTTACCATAAACAATTTCAAACGCACGTTTGCGATCGAGAAATGCCTTTCTTTTGGTGATGTTACACCTATATTCCTGGTGGACAGATGTTATACACTCTTTGATTTTGTACTTTATGGACGCTTCAATGTGCGGAATCAAGATAAGAAATTAAATCAACATTCAAATTAAAATAATTCCCACTGAATGTGTCCATTTCACCGTAGTGGGTGCCAATGTATTTACCCACAACTCACATATTTATTTTCTGCTTCCTCACACATAGCATCCAATTACAACCCGTAAATCATCTACGGCAAATAACCTTGTATACATCCGTAGATGACTCATGAACCACCATCTCACGACACTCTTTTATGTTGTGCATTCGCACTGCCCTGCTTATGCGCGCTTTATCAGGAAAAAGTATGCCCTTTGACATCACTGTTTCTCTAGATTCATCCCACATTAATGTCCGAGTTTCGTCAAGATCCCTTGTGAGGGCATTCATATCCGGCATATTTGGCAAATGATCAAGGTAGGGAATCTCTCTTGAATAAAACGACACATGGAACTCGTACACTCTTGGTCTAATGGGAGGTGGAACATGCTCCCTCGTCAAATCAGGTTCAGCATTCTCTTCCTCCTCCTCATCACCCTCATCAAAGAAGGGTGTGTCATCTCCAAACTCATTAGCATTGTTGTCATAATCACTATTCTCTTCTTGACTCTACGCATCTGCCAGATCCCGATTAAATATGTCTTCTTCGGGCAATTGCGTAAGGACAGGACCTTCAAGTTGCTCGTTTTCACTGCACAACCAATAAAATAATGAATTTCTCAAATTAATCCAAGCTTTACATATAGCTTTATCACTTCACTTACAAATCATAGTGTGTTGATATCCCATGATGGATATTATCTTGTTGATGATGACTCCTAGATGGATCACCATGATCCAACACACCAAAACTAGGCATATTCCAACTGGATGTTGGTTCATAACTTGGAAAATTAATATCTGGCCGGTACCCTCTGTGGAATACATGAGTGTTAATACAAATTAAATACATTAAATTAAACATCGTAACACAAAGAAAAATTAAAGTTTACCACTCGGGTTGTGAATTATGTAAACTAGGGGAGGAATTATTTTCTCGCTCCTCATTAGCCCGCGGAGATAAGTTTAGATCAGGCCAAACTCTTTCATTCGGAATCTGTTCGACTAAAACTGCTCCAAAATAACCACCAGATGATTGAGGGATATCCCTACTTTGCGGAACCTCATTATTGCGAATGACTTCAGCCTTGACGTACATTTCCAATATTTTTATCACAAGAAATTCCCGGTATTCATCCGGAGTCCTCAAAAAAAATCTCAGAGTTTCATCCCCTTCGATGTTAAACTCAACATAACAAGCAACCCCTTATAGAGTGACATGATACAGATATCTTCCGGTTACTTTAATACTCACCGAACGTTTGTACACACTCACTTTTTTACATAACAATGATACCAATGTACCGTACTCCATTATAAATGGCAACTTAACATGATACGGTGGGGAACAACTATAGCTTACTGAGTTATTCGCCACCACAATCTCACCCTCCAATATAATAAAATTCTAGTTCTTCTCTCTTCAGACATTATGACAAAATGCAAAATAACTTAATGAACTAATATTTCAAAAGACTTGAAAATATTTATGAATGGATTTTTACAAAATCCTGAACCTCTTTAAATAAGGCAAAAACCAATTCGGGGTACAATTATTTGATGTATAACGCCTTAAATATGTGTGCTATACCCAGTTGAATTATCGTCATGTTAGTTAAGCCCCGAAGAATTATTGGTGGCCCCACATAATATATATAATGCCTTATATTAGGGCGCTATACCTTGTTGAATTATTGTTATATCAGTTAAGCCAGGAGAATTATTGGTGGGTCCACATAATATATATAGCGCCTTATATTAGGGCACTATACATTAACGGACAAACGACCATTAAGGTATAGCGCGGTATGCTAGGACGTTATATATTATGGTGCCTATTTTTCCCCACACATTTTGTCCTTTGAGTCCAAAAGAACCACATTTTGGTTCCGGATTCTTCTTTTTCCCATGTCATGTGCAAGCCACGTAAGTTTGAAGGATCAAACATGACTTGATCCGTCAGTTAGACTAAATATGATCAGCATTTGTAAACTAGAGGATGCAAAATGCTCACAATTATATATAGAGGACGATATTAAATCTTTTCTCAAACATAGAGGACAATATTTACTAAAATACTTCGCTGAAATTATTACAACTGCTGCAAAAAAGCAACTGCCATATCTGTGAAAGTCTCCAGCTATACACACTACTCACGTACAGAGTACGGTTTTCAACTCACGCCAAAACTCAAATCTCTTCTCTCACCATTGATCAAACCAACAAAAAACCTTTTTTGCAGAGCAGAAGCATATTTCCTTTGTGTTTCCTCTCTCGTTTTTCCACTCTCTATTTCCCTGTAATTTGTTGTCTCATTTCTCTTCAGAAGTTGAACAAAAAAGGTTTACCCACTTTAGGAAGGTATTGTGCTTCTGCTTCTCGAATGTTCTATCGAAGAATCAGAGTCGTGTATCATAGTCTCTCTTTCTTCAAGTGATCAGTGTAATTTTTTACTTTTTTATTATACAGTATATATTTCATTTTTTGTTTGTGAAGTGGGTTTCTGTTGTAGACTGGGTTTTGGTTTATAGTGGCTGATACATGTGAATGAATTTTAGTGACAAAACTTTTGAAAAAAAAGTATAATGGTTAGGATTTTGGCGCTTAATAGCTTTTGCGTTTTTGACTTCTCACTGGGGAAAAAAAATCTCACTCAAAAAATGGCTTTTGGGTTATTGAAAAAGTATAGCTTGCATAGTGTAGGTTTGGAATTGACTTGTGTTTTGATACTTTTTCTTTTTACTACAAATGCTCTCTTACTTGTGTTCACCTACTGTTCATAGGTCTGTCACTCAGTTTTAAATTCTGGCGATGTATTGAAATTTTACTAGAATCTTCATTTTCCCCTTTTTATTGATGCAAACTTTTGTTAACTATGGCAAATAGGGCGACACTGACAAAAAATTATTGTTGATGGCATCATCTGACGAAGAGGGTGAAATTGTTCCAAACTGTATAACAAATTACCATTTCGTTGGCTGCAATGGAGAACCTGTTTCATTTTCCATTTTGCCTCTACAGTGGGGGGAGGATGATGATGATGATGATGTAATTGGAGGGGCAGTGAATAATAATGTGGAGATATATTTGCGTGGAACTGCAGATGATGGTCTTCAGCACATTTATAAGAAGGTTCTAGCTTGGAGATTTGAACTTTCTTATGCCCTGCCTGAAATTCATGTGCTTTCCAAAGATAAAATTTGGATTAAACTCCTTAAACCTCGAAAAAGTTACGCAGATACTATCAGAACAGTACTCATCACAGTTCATTTCCTCCACTTTGTGAAGAAGAATCCAGAAACATTTGGAGAGATTGTGTGGAATCACATTGGGAAAAGTTTCAGGTACTGAAATGCTAGACCTAAATCCTTTAAGGGTGNGGATTCGGGGTGGGGTGTTGGGGGTGCGGAGGAGATAATTAGTTTCACTTATGGAACTTGTTTTCCCGACTCCCACTAGGGAAGTCATTTTCTTGATATTTAAGGAACTTGTTTTTTCTAGAGAAAATGTTTCCAAAATATTTTGACCAACCAAACATGGGAAAATCCATGCCAAACACACCCTAAATATTTTGTTGTCAGTTTTAGTTATAGTGGAATTCACTAAATCAGTTCTTTTAGTGCATACGAGGTGCTACCTTGTAAAGATGATCTACTAGAGCATATGCCAACAATCAGAGAAGCTGCAAGGAGGGATAAAGATATATCTAGTTCCAAGGTTGTGATTCTTTAATTATTGGTATAATTATGCATGGTTATGTTCAGTTTCTGCATGGTTACCTAATTCTCTTGGTGCATACCGCATAGGTTGTTGAATGGAGTTAAGGATATCTCTTTTCTGTAAGACCAGCATTATATGCTTAGTTGAGCATGTGTTAAAATACTTGAGGTCCTTACTGTTTTTCTAACTTTAATTCCTAAGTTGTTCACATGTCATTGAGAGAGACCATCATTAAACTTAGGCGAGAAGTTTAAGGTCAGATTAGCTAATATCAGTGCCATATCAGGAGACCTATATGTTTAAGGCTGAAGATATATTTCAGTGTAGCATGACTAGTCTGATCCTTATTCGACGTGTCGCTAGTGGTCTGTCATTGATTTGCTTTTGCAACTTATGTGGGCTACTGCATCTTGTCCTTTGTGGAGAACTAGTTCTTTTAGTTGCTAAAATGGAGTCTTACCTTGTTGTGCTATCACTCGCTTCTGCTTTTTAACTGTATATACGTTAACATTTCTGGCATTATCCTGTATTGATATTTACATTTTGAAACAGAATTTGAATGCATTTCTTTTGGAGACATCACAAAAGAGGATAGACGATAATGAGGTTAGATGCAGTTTATATGTTATCTCATTTTATTCTTCATTAAGAATTTTCAGTTCTTAATTGTGGTTTGTCTAGCAGTGCAATCGAGCAAAAAAGAGACCCCACTTTGTTATTGAGACCAATAACGATGCTGATAGTGGTACCAATGATGATTCAGATTCAGATGGAGATGAAGATGAACAATTTGATCATGTTTGTGCTCTTTGTGATGATGGGGGAGAACTTTTGTGGTAACTCAGTATTTCTAATATAAGCTCTCTAAATCTTGCCAATGTGTGTTTAACATTAACCATGGGCAAATAAAAGAAAATTTTGGTCAAAGTAATTAGAAGTGCTAAAATTATACATAACTAACTCAGAAACTTTGTTACTTATGACTTTCAGAACAACTTAAGTACGTCATGCAATCATTTTTTTTCTCGAAAAAATAATGGTTTTAGTGATGTAATACGGGGGAAATCCCTTGTACAAGGTGCGTACGAAAAGTGAAAAATCTCAAACAGAAGTATGTTTCTCTACCAGGAGCATCCAACAAGTATACCAATTGGAATCTCATGAGTGCTCCAAAAGTTTAGAAGACAAAAATGGAACTTTGCAAATGTAACTCAAATCACTTCAACACCCATCGATTTCTTTCTTTGCAGATTGATTGCAAGGGGCGCAATAGGGGCACGTCCCATGCTTTATTTCTTCCTTCTTGTCGTTCTGATTTTCCAGCTATGGAGCATTTACTGTACCCTACATTATCCATTCAATTCCGTACTGGTTNCAAGCAACATTTCATAACAAAAGTAACTAGATTTTTTATTGGACCAAATTAACTGGCTCATCTCTAAATCTTAAAGATACAAGAAAAAAAGAGACTAATAAAAGAGATAGCAGTCTAACTCTTTTAGAAGGCATGTGATTGCATCTATTTTGTCGCTGCCTTTTGATTGGCTAAATCGTTTCTATATAGTGCTTTGACGTGGATTTACTTTCATTCACTTGTGTGATTTTAATCCTAAGACTGTTCGTGAAAAATTATTGTTTTTGTCCTTCAACATTTTGCAGAGTATAGTACAGCTTTAATCTTGTCTGTCTGCATGTCTGTCAGTTGTGAAGGCCGCTGCATACGATCTTTCCATCCGTCCGTAGAGTCTGGAGTTGAATCTTCTTGTGAATCTCTTGGTTACAGAAATCTACAAGTAGGAGTCTGAAACTTTTGATCCTTGTCCTGGTTTCTCAATTTTTTTTACTTCTCTCTATATTTGGCATCATGTAAGGGCTTATCAAACTTTGCTAGGAAGTGCTTAAAGTTTTCAGCATATGGTTGTTTGTAAAGTTTTAGCATGTTGCCTTCTTTTAACAATCAAAAGAAGTTTTAGCATGCGGATGTTTCACAGGCAATCCAGACCTTCTTGTGCAAAAATTGTCAATATCAACAACATCAATGTTTTGCTTGTGGCTTGTTGGGGTCATCTGACAAATCATCTGGTGCAGAGGTTTGAATTTCTTGTCCATTATATACAAATAGGAAAATCTTAAGGGTAGAATCAATAAAATGCCAAAAATTCTAATTTTCTTCTTTGACTTGAAGATAATATTTCACCTATTTCCATGTTGTAATGTCTGTACTTATTGTTGAGATAGCTGATTCTAACAGATTAGCAGATTCCACTAATGATTATATATTGGATTTAACTCTTTTTATTTTATTTTATATTTATTTCATTTGGTTAATCTTTTGTGGTATGGAAGCCTTATATCATAACTCAATCTTGTTTTATATCTCTCAACATCTATCCCCGACCAATTACGATCTATGTTGCTCGGACTCTCTCAAAATGTTGCTGGGTGTGTCGGATCCTCCATGTGATTATGACAATATTTTGTTATTGTTTTCTTGAGAGTGCAGCATAGATTACGAGAAGATTACAAAAATATTATGTTATTTTTGACCTCCTTTCTTGGAGAGTCCGTGCAACATAGATTGCAAGAAGATGAATATTTAGTTATAGTAAACATGTCTTTCACAAATCATTCTGGGAGCTTTACATGTGCACAAGTTTGAAAAATCTTAAAGCATTAAGGCTAACACCAGATCTAGACAAAAGGCAAGTAGCTTGGACCTGTATTTTATTTAGGTCTAGCTTCTGTTTGAAATAAAGAAAACAATAAGGAATCTTTGTTAGTTGATACCATTTGATACCCATTGTCTGTATAAAAGGCTGCAGAATATAGATTCAAGCTGAAATTTACCATCATTAGCCCGTTTTTGATTATTAAGACGTTACTCCCTTTGCTTGAAAGTAGATGAACTGATTTGGCTACACTAAGAATGCCTTAGTCGTCTAGACTATGCTGGTGATGTGTCAAATAATAGTTGAGATGTGTGAAAGTGGCTATGTTCCCAACGGAACAGCGTGATACTTAGAAACAGGTTAGAAGTACATTAATAAGGCCTAATGGAAACAATAATAGAAAAAATATTCAAACTTGATGTTTCAAAATATATGTCCTTTCCCAGTGCCTTTAGTTTAAGAGAAAAAAGAAAAAAAGAAAGACACGAATCTTCTCTTACAGCATCTGTGGAGCAACTGTTTTCTCAATCCATACATGGCTTAAAGCTTTTTGAAATTGAGCTGACTCCGTATCTAAATTACAACAGTTTCACAGGGCATTTTCTTAGCTAAAACAGTGATTATCAATTTTTTATGCATTACCATTCTTCAATTCCGTCAAGAGGCTGCTATTGGACTATTGGGTAAGGTGGAGGGGTGTTGCAGCACTGACATCGGGTCTGTGGGAAGCTTATTAAGCAAGGAGGAGCGGATGCTAAATAGGTTTGAGGGATGATTGAAGGAATGAATTGATCAGGTTTAAGGTAAAATTGCTTCTGTTATGAGGATATTAGAACCAGATCTGACTGCAGTAAAAGAAATGCAGGAACCGCTATTTTACAAAAAAAACACAGAAAACCAAGAGAGAACTTTTTTTTTGGGGTGTGTGTGTGTGGGGG